CCTCCGTTGTCATATCGTCTCGGTTGACGATATGATGTCGAGCTGGCGCGAGCCTGTCTCAGACTGAAGTCTTCCTGCTCCGCAATGGAAATGGCTTGTTCTAGTGAATCTAGTTCAAGCCGGAACAGGTGAGTCTTGACGGGACCATCCGCAAGACCCTGCATGAACACCGAAACCAACGTGTGTTCATCCACCGGATTGGAACTTATACAACTCGTGAGATGTCGTATATGTTGAGCGTAAGCGTGCACATCACGCTTACCCTGCTTGAGCTTCAAGAGTTCGGTTCGAGCTCTGAACTCAGCTCTAGGCGGTTCAAACGTTTGTCTGAGCCGCGACTTGAAGACTTCCAACGACCCAAACGCATATGGGTCGTGCAACTTGAGCCCCAGTGCCCAAGTCTTGGCACGTCCTGCCAGATTTGACTGGGCAAATGCAACTTGCATATCCCCGTCGTCGATGCGACGCGCCCTTATGGCGTCATCCAATTCGACGAACCATCTCAAGAGGGAGTCCTCTTCGACTCCCCTATACTTGGAGATGTCAATCTTCAAGGTCTCGGGTCGACGCGAATGCATCGACCCACCAGCAGCAGCCTGCTGCTGTCTCAACAGTTCAAACTGTTGAGCACCCTGTTCTCTCAACAACTCTGCTTGTTGAGAACCTTGTTGGTGAAGCAAGGCTACTTTCTCGCGTTCTGCGTCAAGTTCATTTTGAATGAACTTGGCGATAGTAGCATGTTGGGCATCTCTATTGAGAGCCTCTAGCATGACGCTAACAGCATGGATGCCCATGGTTGAACCCATTCGTTCAACCGCATCCCATTCGACATCGCTCAAATGGGAGTAGCCTTCACGCGTAGCGTGAAAGCTTTGGTCATCTTCATCATCCAACATATTCATGTTAGATGTGAACGTGGTCCTTGGACGGACTACGAAGTGCTACCAGGTGTAACGGGGCACCCTGAAGCTTGTACTGGTGACAGTGCAAGCTACTTATTCTGATGACAGAATAAGGCGGTGCCTCGTAACTTCACGTACACTCGTACGTGCAGAGGAAGACGGTAAAGAAGAAGCGAGTACTTGGTTAAAGTAAAAAGTAGAACTGTGTTTATAATAGTTAATGTCTGCAATAAATCACTATTTATCCTCATCTAACTATGTCTAAATACAAATGTGTAAATCAATTATCTGCTCACCACTCATTGCGTGCGTCTGTCGTGGCGCGTCTTCGTTGGTTGATATAATGGCCTATATCAACCAATTAGGAACTAATCGTAAGTGCTACAAAATATTTGTCCTTATGACAATATTCTGAGAATATAACTCTTATAGTTATATTCTATTAACAATTTCTTATAAATTGTTATGTAACGATTCACCCCGTTACACAGCAAAAACGAACGAATACCCACCTAGCATAATACTCGTACATGCCATACAGTTGTCAATGCAGACATGGGAGCACTTGACTATATCGAAGTCACGGAGTGCAATCAACTATTTTATGCACATGCTGTACATATACATGTTAATTTGAATGGGTGTCTTCCTAATTTAATAGTAGAGAGAGAGGAGCAACGTGTGACAGTGAGCCGTCGACGGTCAATAGCATGTGATGTTTATTGGAACAGCTCGCAATGGATACACTACTACGTTCAGCGCTTGATGTGATGAGCTGGACAAAAGCTTTCATCTGAGCCACGAGCTGGTGATAATTTCCAGCAAACTAGTGATAGATAGCCGACTTAATTGCATACTTCCACTATGTTGACAGCAAGGAAGAGAGTGCGTCGGTGTAAACAACGAACTTTGAGGTGACGTCAATCTGGATACAATTGTAGCACCAAAAGGCATAGTGTGCGAACAGGCGGTGCGAGAAACGATTATCACTTTCAACGCAACCGTGTAGAAGCCCATGAATTTGGGACGCACGAATAGCTCACTTGTTTGAGTCTAACGAACGAGCAGGTAGACCCTTTGACAGTTGCTCGTAGGGATTCAATGAAGCGTCGAAGGCGACTACCTCTGCCTCATCTTAGGCTTTTTGAGATAATCATGCGTCCTTTACCTTGACTACGTATCTCTAGAATACTGCGACATTAAAGTGTCAAATAGTGCCCGCAATCCATTCATCAAACATGACGACCACGACAATGAGATGCGCTCCTTACTCTCTCAAGCAGAAGCTACATACATTCCGATCATCAGTTACATTTCGTTGAGACGGGACCAGAGTGGCGGACAGCTAAGGCTATTGCCTGCCTCGCAGTCTAATTCATCAATATGATGGCGTGCTTGCTTCAACCGACTCGGCTTATCCCTATTCTTGATTTAGTCAAGCAGCAAAAGACGAGTATGCCATCATAACAAACAGCAAAACGTTGAAATAGTTTGTGACGTGGCTCCGCCTCTACCGCCTCATTATGTGCGAAGCTGAGTGTTTAACCCTCAAATGCACTCATGCATAATTTACTATTTTGACCACGCGCTTTCGTTGGTCAATCGGTATGCATAAGTGCAATTGCATAGCAAGTATTCTTAAGTGCAGTTTTCGAGGCCTCTTCGGTTGAGGTGGCACATACTTTGAGGTTGCCACAAATCAGCTGCCAAAATGAAAAGTCGTCATTTTTACAGCTGATTTTGCTCGGTAAAGCACTTCTGGAATTTACTGCAATGACCCTCTCGCAGAACACAAGTATGTTTGCCAAAAAACTCGTTCACTTCTTAATCTTTGCGAGACCGTTGTAGTACAACCGATCGCTTCTGGATTATCTTGTGGCTATATCACCCTTCCGACTGAGCATAGCCTCGCCATCATAATCAATGATCAGCGCATTTCTTCTTTTACGGCATCGTAACCGGAATTTTGAAGCCTTGCTAGAGCTTTGTTACTACAGTCAAGACGATTGAATGCAGACCATATTAGCAATAGAACACTGTTCACTTGCTTTTTATTAACACGACGCACTCGGTTCTAAGGCGTGCCACATAACGTAAGTTCAGCAGCACTAGCGAAGGGGCCGGCGACTTAGTTTACGGTTTGACAATATTTCAGAGATTGTTCTTTGCATTTATTTTTATTGACCAATCAAAGGATCGTAAGTGTGAAGGGATGGATAGTTAACGCGAAGGGGTGGAAGCTTAACGCCTCCCTAAAATTAAAAACAAGCGCAAAATCTAACTTATCCACGCGAGATTGTATTGCCGCAAAGAAGAATTGATGCGCTTGACTAGAGTCATGGATGTTTATCGAAGGCGCTGTCGAGATAGTAGTGCGCGGTGTGGTAGACCCTGTGACGTTAAGCTTTCATTTACTTACTGCACAGCCACAGGTAGTAATTATGTATAGACAGTATGTGCGCTTATGTTTACCCACTCAGTTTTGTCGTCACTTATTACGGTAAACTAGCTACATCGTCAATCTTGATGTTTGTGTTCTTGTCATTCGGCGGCTGCTGGATGCTGTCCTAATAGATGTTACTAGAACCAATAGTTGCGATAGAGACACCGTGTACTTTGCATTCTGGACCTCGAGATGTTTCTTGTACTGATAGCTTAGTTTCCAAAAAAATGAACAAATTATAGCTGACGTGGGTGACGTCTCGAATATGACTGGAGCATGCGCCACGAATATTAGCGGCATAGTTGTGGTTGCTACGGTGGAAACAGCAAATGGATGTGGTGGATTAAGCAATATTCTTAACTTAACAATGCTTCCAATATTTTTACATTTTAGCATCGTCACGGGAGCATACTTTCGCGCGCTTGATGGCGCAAGCACGAACACGTACATCATGCACTACCATGATACAGCTACTCTTATTGCCATAATACACATTTCTATATGAAAATTGCGTCAAGAATACCGGGCATCCGTTCACTTCGACTTACTTCGTGCTCCTTACAAATTTTAGGCACAAAAGAATGTATGATGACCCTGAGCATTTAACAAACATTCTTCTATAGTCGAATTTGCATGCTCGACGTGGCGGTATAATTTTGACTGGGTGCCAAAAGCGGATTTCTGTGTGTGAGCCATGCCACCATCTCAAAAACTGGGGACATTAACACATGAGAAGCACTACTCTGTCCCATTTCTTTACGAAACGAAAAAGTACGTGAGCTAGATGGAATCTGACGACTGTCTACTACTCCTTTTACGTCTGTTTTTTTTGCATTTAATCACCACAAACAAGCTATTCTATGGCATTGGCAGTGAGCGCTCGCCAGCAAAACGAGGGTGACAATAATTATTAGCTGCCACAGGTCGAGAGGATCATTTTTCATGTAGATCGCCTCCTTCGTCGTTACCGATCGCTTCTGTGCTTGTTTCTGATCGGTTATGTTCTATAGTAAGAACGGCTAATATGAGCCTTGAGCAAGAATAAAAATGATGATAAAATTATTTTTACTTTCAAGTGGCTAATATCATTTGATATTTAATCATTTGACACATTCCGCCACATTAAATGAAAAACCTCACTTCAATTTCCATTAATTCAGCTGCTGTTATTGTCGAAACTGCTGATAAGATTATCATGCTGCTTTTTGGGTTGCTGAAACTTCTTCTTCGAGCAAATTCCAACACCTTTTAACTTCACTTCCAGAAAACCTGTTAAAATTAATTAGACAAATACCAGTTTATTTTTGCGGCATCTGCTTTCAAATGGGCTCCAAAATTGCATAAAATGCTTTAGAATGAGCTCTTCACGCTGGTGCTATTTTCGTCTAGAAATACAGGCTGTGTCGAACATGCGAGCCAAACGCGTGATAATCCATAAACAAACGGGACAGAGTAGAATGTCATAATATTTGCGCATGGCATTCTCAAATAACAGCGCCCAACTTGTACTAGTTATAGAATGATGAGTAAAAATATGCGAGACCGAAAATTTATGCCCAGACTGTACCCAGTGGCAGCATTGTATCATTTGCCACTAGATCCTACATTAGCTCCTTTATCTTGCATTGGCTCCTTTATCCTACAGCACCGGTCTTATGGCGGACAAGCTTGCCAAGCGTCTTGATGGCTTCAAGCAGCACACGGTCTGGAACGAGTTTACCCCTTTGGCACTCGAGCACGAGGCTATCAACTTGGGACAGGGATTCCCCGACTGGCGCTGCGAGGATTTTGTCAAACAGGCAGCCAAGGACGCGCTCGACGCGGATTTCAACCAGTACGCGCGTCCCCAGGGCCATAAGAAGCTCGTGGAGGGACTGGCTGCGAAATACAGTAAGGAACTGAAGCGCGAGATCAACTGGAGCAATGAAGTTGCAGTGGGTGTCGGTGCCACGGAGACCATCTACGCCGCTGTCAATGCGTTCGTGCAGCCTGGAGATGAGGTGATCGTGTTTGAACCGGCCTTTGACATTTACACTGCTCAGGTCCAGATGGCTGGTGGTGTCTGTCGTCCTGTGCCCTTAAGAGTGAGCACAGACGAGCAGACAGGGGCCAAGGGCTTCTACATTGACGAAGTGGCGCTGGCACGAAGCTTTTCATCCAAGACCCGAGCCGTACTCCTAAACAACCCGCACAATCCAACGGGAAAAGTGTTTACCAAGGACGAGCTCGAGCTTATTGCCAAACATGTGCGCAAGCATCCGCGGGTGATCATCATTTCGGACGAAGTGTATGAGCACATTGTGTTTGATGGTCAGACGCACGTCCGGATTGCCAATATGGACGGCATGTGGGAGCGCACGCTGACAGTCTCGAGTGCTGGGAAGACCTTCTCGGTCACTGGCTGGAAAGTGGGATGGGCCATCGGACCGAGCAACTTGATCAAGGGCATTCACCTTGCTAACAACTGGATCCAGTTCAGTGTCGTGACGCCATTACAGGAAGCTGTTGCCAATATGCTGGAGCTCGCGGAAAAACCCTACAAGGGATTTCCGACCTTCTATGCTTTTCTTGCTGACCAGTACAAACAGAAGCGTGACCGACTTAGCTGCGCACTGTTAGATGTGGGGATTGTTCCGGTCACCGCCAATGGTGGCATCTTCCTGTACTCGGATATTTCGGCCGTAAAAGTTCCCGAAAGCTTCCTTGAACCAAAATGGACGTCCGACTGGGCTTTCTGTCGGTGGCTTACGATCACCAAGGGCGTCACAGCCATCCCGTGCACTGCATTTTTCTGCGCTGATAACAAGGCGAGGGGCAGCCAGTGGGCGCGTTTTGCGTACTGCAAGACCGATGAGGCCCTCGAAGAAGCGATTTTTCGTCTTGCGAAGCTCCACGAGCTATAGAAGGAAGTGATGCCATCACGTCGCAAATTAGTCAAGGTGAGTATGCTGCGCGGTGATAATTCGTCACCCGGATGTTTATAAATTTCGGCTGTGTAGCACAACAATGCAGTGCCCTTTGGTCAATCAATCCAACGATTTGCCACTTTTCGCTGCTAGTCTGCTGCCTGATGGACGACACTTTGCTCCTACGTGCTTCCATAACGTTATCCGATGTTCGGAGCTCAGTCAAGCCGACGTCTCTGTAGTACAGAAGTCATTCCTGTGGGAATACAACAGACGTGGTCTGAGGTCAAAACGGGTTGAACAATGACTGTCAGTTCTCTGCACCTTCCAAGGGTTGGTATTTACGTGCACATGGCCAACTCTCCGACAGTACGTCGATGGAGATTGATGTCGGTCACAGAACCTTTGACACCATCATCTCTCACCCTTTCCAGCAGCTTATCGACGAGGTATGCAATTGCAGCACATCCACCCGTTTGCTTAACTTGCCGTCTGGATTACACCCCAGCCGTGTCGAATTCAATGCCATCCGATACAAAAACAAATGAACAGGTGCCTGTCCAGCGGGTCAAAGACATACACACATACGCTTCACTCCAACAACGTTCATCAAGCTTTTGGCAACGTAGAGTGGCCCCTGCTCGGCAAGTTGTAGCATCCAGTTCATGCGACGACGACAATAAGAGACGAAGTAAACGACCGCCCGTCGCAACATACTCGCCAGCGTCCATCTCGAAGCCTAGTACATCCGCGCCACGGAGCATCCAGGCGATATGCAAGACAAGCCAGCGAGCAGCATTCTTGCGCAAAAATCGTAGAAGATGGTCCAAGCTCAGCCGTGCCAAAACCAGCGAGTGAGTGGTATGATATAGCGCATGCAGCAGCGACGCGTCTCGGGTGATTGCCACAAACGAATCACCGCTGTTGCCGATCGCGGTCATAAACCAGCACGCAGAGGAGCAGAGCGGGTCTCCAGCAACGTGTAAACAGCTCGGGTATCGGATCGAGCATTTGGGTGGGTGCGTGGGCTCGTTGCGTCGATCGTGAGCGTAACGTCCTTTTGTCGGCAATTCCAACTCCGTCTGTCGATCTCCTCAGCTGCGTCACGATGTTGGTCGGTTCGCACTGCCTTTGCGCACTTCGTGCTCTTCTTTCAACAGGGCTGCGGGTACGATGGTCACAAACACCACCTGCACCTGCACTTCTACCACCGTTGTTAAATTCATTGTCGCACTGACGCGACAAAGTCGCTCCAGTGCGCGCTCGTGCTCCCAACGGTCTGCCAAGACAACGTGCAAGGGAAACAACGTCTCGTGCATGCACCCCCCTCGCCCTACGGCATCATGTAGTTGGTCTCAATTTCTGACGATGCAGCACCCATTCACCACTATCACCTCAACCAGATAGAAACACAAGCATGACGCTGATCATGTAGTCGTGGCACGAAGCATCAAGAGATGCTTTATCTGTTGCACAAAAGTTTGCCGTACTGTCCATCCCTGCATGGGCAGAAAGCTTGGCCTCTAACTTTGGTTTTCCACATCATTGAGAGCAACATGTCTAACATTAAATCACAAAATCCCAACAGGTAATACTTTACTCTACCTCGGTGTTTGTCACAACAAATTGCTCAAACATATTAGGATAGAAATTGATTCCTTCGAACGTTTCATCTCGACAAAGCTTCCCGAGCTTTTCTGCTACCTGTGAGCGCACATACCGACTCGTGAGTCAATCGATGGACAAGTACCATATAGCTTGCTGCTCTACGTACATGCAAATATTCTTGAGCCAACGGAAACGACGTGTGCATCTCCACCGATACGTCAGTCGAAGTGATGTAACCAAAACTGGATTTCTGCGCCATCTTTGCGAGCCGCTCGGCAACTTTGTCTTCGCTGTGCGTATCTGTTTGTAGCACAATAAGTCCACTAGGAAACTTGCGCATGCTACATCCAAGATTCAGCTTTTTCTGCAGCACTGCTGCATGGTACAAATCATCCGGAGAGACAAGCTCTACACCGCGCGCTCGATTAAACATGCAGTATATGTCCGAGAGAGTCATGATTCCTCCATTTCGTGGCATATGGTCGCGAAGGTACTCAGCAAGCTGCCGAGCTAACTGTTCGTAATACGCGGTACCAGAATTTGCACGCGTCACCGGACTGATGATACCCATATCCAGCATCAGCGAGCTAAGTTTGTTCATATCGGCTTCACTGGACGTCATTCCATCCTCCTCTGCCAGCTCGGTCGCTCTCTGCATATCCACATACCGTTCAATCAATCCGACCATGTCCTTCGCTTTGATCATCAGATTGGTCAAGTCAGAGAACGCAGTCGTAGCCAGTTCCATCGTCTCTTTCTGCGCTTCCTGTTGACGCCGCATGATCCCCGCAATACCAGCGTCAGCGGCATCAAAATGCCTCTTCATAAGCCGTCTGTCAGCCAAATGGCTCGGCTGTGTGTCCTTCCACGCCTGACGTTTCAGCGAAGCTGCCAATGGACTGTAGAAATCGTCACGTCCGCCGTCTTTAAACGATAATTTCAAGAATGAAGTGGCAGCAGAGGGTGGGCGAGTCGTGATATCGACCCGCAACTTAGCTGAGCGTTGCAAAAAGCCTGCCTCTTTGGTAAGCCGAACGATCCAATCCAGTGGCAAGAAGAACGCCACCGGTGGGGAGCTGCTTTCGTCCATGTAGAACAGGCGATGGGTCGTGACGGAGCAGCGGCCGTGTATATGAGGCGTCTTGAGCGTGCGATCGTACAGACCAATTTTCTCCTCACTATAAATCTCAACTTCATTGCCGAAGAGAGCCGGACGACCGGCAGCTGTTAGTGGAAGCGCTACAGAGACGGGCAGAGAGACATCAATACAATGGTGATTCTGTCAGTACTTGGGAGCGACTTTGTGACAACATAGACACGTACTTTGTAGGATATACAGCACGGACACTCCGGTGAGTGGCTGATTGGCGGCACGACGTTCCTCGCTTCGAGGTCCTGAAGTCGATGAAGGCGCACTGGAGCTCACGGAGCGCGGAGACGATGACGCCTCGCTCATGCTTAAAGGGCGTGCCAAACGTGGTAAGGCGATTTGGTAACAGAGCTTATGTATGTTAGTTAAGAGGTTGGTGTATGCTCTGGAGGGGGCATTACTATGCAGAGAGAATGTGCGAATAAATTTCACGAAGTCGCTAAATTCAGTGCGAATTCGAGCAGCAAGATATTCTAGCAAAGGAGTTCTGGATATTAATGACCTTCCTAAGCTCAAAGAGAGCGCTGGTCGGTAGTTGGTATGCTGCGACCTCAAATTGATTTATATAGGCGATCGCGATTTATGAATTGCAGTCCTCCCCCCCATAGTTATAGCCTTGGTGGAGGTCAGACCCTATAACTTATCAGAGGTTATTTCATTTGGGAATAATCAATTAATTAGCGATCAAAAAAGCTGACAATTTATTATTTTATTACTTTTCAATACATTACAATATATGCAAAACTATTTATGTTAGTATCACGATTGTCAGTTATTGATCAAAATAGCAGACCACAGAACAATTTCTTTACCCTTCTGGTGGGGGACGCGTCTGGGCACCGCCTATGGAAATTATGAAGTACTTCTGCGTACAATGCATTGTCTTTGTAAGTGCATCGAATTCAACTTGAACACATTAAATTGAACACAGTTAGTTGATTGTATCACACTCAACTAAGTCATTGAACCAAACACAGTTGAAGTACCTTCGTTCACAGTTGAAGTACTGTACCTTGTTTGCATTTTGTGCGCGATTGCGCAACCTTTAGCAACTCGCCTGGCGGGCTGGCCACCGGGGGTCGGGGTATAAAGGCACCCTTTTTCTCCCCCGACCAAACAAACATCCCTACATTCCTACATCCACACCTCACCTTCCCTCTCGCTTTCGCTCTCACGCTTCCTATCCACTTTCATTCCTCTCCCAAACCAACAACTTCCCTAAAAAAACAGAACCCAAAACCTACCCACCCTCCCACCCACTTACCCACCCACACATCAGAGATGTCTTAACTACGTCTCACCAACGACCAGAAGCTGAGGATCATCAAACATAAGGATGATCATCCGAGACTCACCCAGACAGAGCTTGGAAACTGGACGAAGGAGGCATTCGGCCTCCCCAAACCTATGACGCAGGCCTCAATCAGCAAGATCATCAGCAAGAAATAAGAGCTTGAAGCAATGAGTCCATCAGAGCTCTCTGCTAAGCGTCTCCGCTAAGTTCAACATCCTGCCTTGGAAGAAGCAGTGGCCCTCTGGATTTTGCAATGCCAGCATCGTGGAGTTGCCCTCACCGGAGACCTGATCCGTGCCAAAGCTGCAAGCTTTGCAACGTCCATGGATTTTTCGAATGGATCAATTAAGTTTGCCCATGGGTGGCTCTACAAATTCCAGCAGTGCCACAAGCTAAGGGCCGTCCGTATCCTTGGCGAGGGCGGTTCAGCCGATGTGGATGGACTTGAAGCAGCTCTACCAGAGTTGCAAGCAGCCGTCGCCAAGTTTGCTCCCCTTGATGTGTACAACATGGACGAAACTGGTAAGTTCTCCTGAAGTCTTTTATGCTCTGTGTCATAAATGCCAAGACGATTTCCAGGATTATTTTACAGCATGACACCGGATAAACCATTGCCCAGAAGGAAGTTGAAGGCTTAAAAAAAGACGAGGTGAGTTGCATTTGGCTTGTTGGAATCCGTGGGATCAATGGAATAATTGACATGTTTGTCAGACTCGCATCACAGCGGCTCTGACGGCAAATGCTGAAAAATCTTATAAGCTCCCTCCATTCTTCATCGGCCGTGCAAAGAAGCCTCGTTACTTCCAACGGAAGTCAGGGGAAGAGCTCGGGTTTCTCTATCACTACAACAAGAAAGCCTGGATGATTGGGGTCTTTTTTCAGGAATGGATTGGAAACCTGGATAGAGACATGAAGGTAATTGACATTTGCCCATTCTGAGATAACAGCTGCAAAACAAAGCACTTACCCAGATTCTAGCGCCAGGATAAAAAATCCTTCTGCTTATGGACAATGCACCTTCGCACGTAACTTTGGATATTGTGCTCACCAACGTCACCGTTCAGGCTTTGCCGCCCAATACCACATCCAAGGTGCAGCCAATGGATGCCGGTATCATCGCTGCATTCAAGCGCCACTACCAACGTCTACACCTACAGAACGCTTCGGATCGCGTGATGCGGGAGCGGCCGATCTCTACAAAGTTGATCAAGTCACAGCCATGCGTTGGTCACTTATGGCGTGGAGCGAGATTTCGAGCACCACCATTGCGAATTGCTTTAAGCACACTGGACTCATGAATGGGCCGACTTCACCAGCAGTTGATGGAGGCGCTTCAGCAGGGGATACTCAGCAGCCTGTGCAACAGGATGCAGATCTGGTTGACCAGGAGGAGCAGGAAGTGGAGAAGGAAGTGGAGAAGGATCTGGAGTCAGCTATGCAACGCCTGCCTTTGCGCAATCCGATGTCTATTGCGTCACTGCTCAATCCAGTTGATGAGGAGCCGACGGTGCATGCCGAGTTAAGCGACGCCGAGGTCATCAATCTCGTCCAGGATGCTGAGGAGGAGGAGGAAGGAGAAGCTGAGGAGGAGGTGACACATTCCATAGCTGAGAAGCTCGCTGCTCTTGTTTTGTCCATTTCCCTCCTTGATCTCTCCCAGAATCAAGACCGCGCTGCCCACCGCGCTCTTCGTCGCATTCAAGCCCAACTTCGTAGTGCTAATACAATCCAAACCACACTGGATTCATGGCTTAAATAGGCTCCAGGATGCTCCAAAAAATATTCATCTACTCTTGACAAAAAATTGCTCCCTCTGATACGTCATATTGAGCCTGGGCGGAAATTCCATATACCGTATTCCATAGTCGCCATAGAACGGCGTCGGTGGACTTAAAATCGTATAACTTAGCAGAGGTTATACCATAGGGGGAAATAACTTATGGGGGGAGGACTGTACTGAAGAAGCAGTACTCGCTACCAAAACGAGATAGTCGGTCAACCCCTTCTGTTGAACGGTAGCCCCTTTTTTGGATGGTGTGGTTAAGTCAGTGTTATAAAGGTTGGTATCAAGAGATTAAAGCATCGTAGTTGGCAAAGACGGATACAAGTCCATTTTTGCATTCGCATCTTCCTACTCTACCAGGTAATAAGCCCAGTGGGTCATGCCGGCCACACAATAAAGCCTATCGTGGAGCATAGAACAGTGACTGGTCGCGAAAGGGCCAGCACTTTACAAGGCGAACTTTTTAGAAGTCAAGGCAGAGGTTGTCATGTTGCCGAGTCGTGCAACACGACTGAGCTATGTATAGGCTAAAAAGCCCATGACGTCACGGTCTGACGTCTTTAAAGCATTCTAGAAGGATATGAAATGGTAGGTTAGAGGTTGCACAGGGTGGCAAACTAAAGATCTATGTTAATCAAGGTTTCCAATTTACTAAGTGAACGACAAGTCTTTAAATCTGATAGCACTTGTATGACCTCGCCATTCCCGCCGTCCTCGCCGTCTTTATTGCACCGCCGTCGTCACTCAAGAGCAGTGATCAGGAGAGATCATTTGTAAGTCCCAATCTTTTTTTAGGGCAGGGACTCCTTCTCATTGGCTGTAAATCTTACCGAGCCATTATTACTACTGCTTTTATCGAGATTGAAATCATAATTGGCTATAGATCGTCTCGTTTCAGTTATAAGTTGGTTCAATTGACGGAAGGTCAATTCTTCGCTTCATGACCCGTCACTTGTGGAAGTAGCCCACGAAACTGGACACCAACCACTCGCTGGCCCAGCTGTCCGTGAAGAAGCCAGACGCAGCCGATGAGTGCCGCGCAGAAGTTCTGGAATCGATCCGCCGCACCAGCCGCATTATTTCCCGCTTCGGGAAACACCTGAAGACGTCTCAACGCTCCGACTCGCGTGAAAACAATAAAGCTCGCTTACTCTCGCACCCAAGTGACTTGCTCAGCTTCGAGAGCACGGTGATACTGCGCATCTCACGCGAAATCGCTAAACACAGGGTCAAAACTATCCGAGTCCCTTGTGTTGGACCTCCAAGGTACAAAACCGTTCCCGTAAGCCAAATACCGACCTCCAAGTTGAATAAATTTTGAAACTTATGCCAAAAGTTGTTTTGAAAAGCACCCGAGAGCCAAAAAGGACCCCAGATCAACCACCTAGAGTCAACTAATCGTTAATCGCATTTAATAATAGCATTAGTTCAACACTTTCCACCCCGATGACTTCGGATCAGCATACACAATTGCTGCACTCTATGGTTGCAACTATGAAAAAACAAGCGCAATTGCTCGAGTAATGTCAAATTCGAAACAACTTTCGGAAATCAAGCTAGAGGGTGTGAACTTTTGAAGTATGGAATCAGGTTCAGATGAATTATTGTAACTCTACAATGAGCAAGCAGAACATTTTATTGCAAGAGGAGTGAATTGGAAGATTCTAGAGCTTTCGCAAAGAAAATTTGCGGTCTTAGGCGAAACACTGCGGCAAGGAGCCGCTCAATGGTATGTGATGCAAAAAAGTATGTCACAAATGTGGACGGATTCTTTAGCAAAGTCGAACTTGACTTTGTTCCGGCTGATTTGCAAAAGCGTCTGCGCGAGGATATGAACAACGGAAGAGAGCGCAATTTCGAAGATCTCCCTAATTACATGTGCAAGTTTCGCCGCGTAGTCGCTCAAGTTCAAGATGTGAGCAAGCTGGACCAGATTATGCACTTTCTCCGTGGACTTACGAGTCGCACGCGGAAAGCAGTTTAGTACCGTCGCTGTACGACAATCTCCGAATCTATTAAGGTTGCGTTGGACTTTGACCGTTTCCACCCGCAGAGACATTCTTTAGAAAGTTCGCTCGATAGACCGCGGTACAGGTCATACGAAACCAGTCGTCGATATCGATCAAACGATGGTCCGGAGCTAATGGACATCAGCTACGTTCAAATACCGTCTCGTGATGCATTTCTCCGCCGAAATTTGTGCGATAAGTGCGGAAGTCCTAAGCATTG